GTCTTTACCATATAGTTTCGAGTGTTTGAAAACACTTACCTTGATGTCGAGGTGAGCCACGTTCAGGGAATGCAGAAAGGCTATCCCGTCCAAAATCTGCTTTAGTAATCTGGCGACTTGCCGTTCCTCTGGAACTTCGTCTCGGTCGAGTATCATTTGTAATTCGCCACCAGGAGCCCTGTCACAATAAACATTACCTGTCTCGCACGACTTGCACAATATTTACGTTTAGCACGTATATATATATATATATACTTTTTTCATTCAGAAGGTAGATATGGCGGTGGCCTACTTGCCTATTTTGCCGGAGATGCAGAAGTATTGCACGTTCAGTACAATCCTGGAGCAAGGCGAGTTGACGGTATTGATGAAACGACCACAAGAATCGGCAACCGGTTCGGGATTGCTCGCACCATTCAACAAAACCGTTTGGCTGTTTGTGCTAGCTGCAGTGATCTCTGTAGGACCTGTAATTTACACATTTGCCACATTCAGGTTCGTCGAAAGAAAAAAATCCATAGAATATACCTTATGAAACGCTCCAGTTCTCAATACTATCACTATCTTGTAGGGCAAAGTTGTGGAACAAACCCGACTCCGAAAATTTCAGCTTATTCTCTTGCGTATGGTTTGTGTATAGTTCTTTGTTAAAACAAGGAACCAATATAATCGCGACAACAGGTACGAAATACTACCCTGCTATCTTCGTGACATCTTGATTACCACATCTTTATATTCGCAAACGACGTCTCATAGAGACGACTTTCTTCAAGAGTTACGTCATTATATACTGCGACATACGTTATGTGCATTTATTTTTATATTTAATTTGTAATAATGTAAATTAAATTAATGAAAAGCCTAAACCATATCCGACTAACATGATTTATGTATAGATTATTGTGACAGGATAAATTTTAGGATTAATTTTTTTATACTACGATTTTTGAAAGCAACAAATATATGCTAATTGTATCGTTTATTATGTAATATTAAATTAAAAAATGAATTTATATCAATTGTAGACTCGACACGGATTCTGATCGCCATGTGGTGGATTTTCATTTTAATATTGACGTCCTTTTACACGGCGAATCTTACTGCGTTTCTTACGAGGCCACAGTTTACCTTGCCAATCAACAACGTACAAGATATATTGCGTAAAGGTTATCAGTGGGTTACTTATAAAGGGCGCACAATAGACTTAGTGCTTTCTGAAGTAAGTCTTTATGCAAACACGTATTTAATCTTTTTTAAGAGAGAATTTGAGATTTGTAATTACAATCTTATCCAATAGTTATGATTTAAAATTGATAAGAATTGCAAACATTGATTATTTTATCACGATCATAAAACGTTAAAATAATACTAGTTTACACAACAAAAAGTTATTTTGAATCATTAATAATACGTTTAATAATATATTTAATATTTTTAATATTATATATCACAGTCAAAGTCAAAGAATACATAACATGGCTAAAAAATAAAATATTTAAATTTATAAAAATGCATCTTGTCCATCTTCTTAGAGAATGGAAAATACATTCACTTCTGATTAGAATTTTAAGATAATATTAATTTTTATACATTATTAGAAAATATTAAATATCACAAAAAAGCCATTTTTGGTAGATTAAATCTCTGTAGTTATTTCGAAAATATCGCGATAGTACTAGTGTTTCGTGTGCGACAAAATTTGTAAGAAATACCTTGTCTGATTCAAAGTAATTAAAAGAAATTATTTTTTGTAAACTAGTGTAATTAAATTTCATTTTTAATATTTTCAGTTCCACGATGTTGAAGATTTAAATCTCTTAAACGTCACAAGATGGAAGGACAATTACATAACGTCATATGAATATCCAGTTAACGATATTTTTAACGCTTTGGAGAAGAGTGAGTACTACCGCCAAATTTCAACTACATACTTTAATAATAAATAAAAAGAATAATATATAAATTCACGAGGCATTAGAAGTCAGCGTTGATACTAATTTGCGCAATTATACCTAATGATAAAAATATATATAAATAAAATTTATTAATATCTGGAGGTTCTGGTTCGTCTCGCTAACGTACAGATATTCTTAAATTTTATATCATATTTTATTTATATGTATGTATTATTTTATGAATTAAAGGAGTCCCTAAAATAATTATTTCTTAAAATAATTATTTCTATTATTATCAAATGAAAAGAAGTGTAACATTAATCTCTAGATAAACTGTTCCTTGGAGAGACTCATTACCTCAAAACTCTAATATTCGAGAATTATATCAACAAAACTCGCCAACACTTGAACCATCGGGACAGATGTACATATGTTATTATGCCCAACACGATTTATTTGATCAATAAGGCATTCGCCTTTCCCATAAACTCTACTTTGAAGAAACTATTTAATAAAGAGTAAGCGACAAATTTTTGTATTAAAAGAATTAATATTTTTATATTAAAAAAATTAATATTTTTTAATATAAAAAGTAAATTGAATTATGGTTAATTATGCTTGTATATTCTTCGAGTTTTTAGAATTTAGATAATATGATAATAATAGATAATAAAATTTAAAAAAATAGATAGAATATAATCTATACAGCATAGAATTTGCAACAATATTGCTGCAAAATAGAATATTGCTGCAATGTTGCAGCAGTGTTGCAACTTTTGTGCAACTTTGTGCTGTAGGAGAATTTTATATAAATTATGTCTTAAGCATAGTTCGTATCACAAAAATTGTAGCCATTAATCATCAATAATTTATTGATATAATCTAATATTATTAACTGTGCAATTCAATAAAAGACTGAACGTGTTTCAGATTGATAACTTTAATGGCATCTGGTATAATGACGCGCGAGAAACTGAGAAAGCTACCAATTGCGCAAGTATGTCCGCTGGATCTTCGATCCACTGAAAGACAATTGTCAATTGCCGATCTATCTTTAACGTTTAAAGTGATCCTCGCTGGATATATGATCGCAATGATAATTTTCGTTCTCGAGATATTAATTAATTGGTTGGTGAAATTTTACAAACGGCGAAAGAAGATCGGCAGAAAATCCGATCGCACGTTCTTCTGCAAGTGGAAACGGAAATCAAATGATTCTTTAATCCCACAATTGGTGTACACCACTAAGAATCAGCTATTCGATAAACGGAACATACAGCTGCCGTTTTCAAATATCCCGTATGATATCGTTCAAGGAAAGAAATATTGTATTAATGGCCGTGATTATTACATTGTATTCGATCGTTATGGTGATCAAAGATTAATACCTATTCGCACACCATCCGCATTTCTATTTCAATACACAGCGTAATAAAGGAATAATTTACGTCTGACGAACCGTAGCAAATTATCGATGGAATTTATTTAAAATGTCAACAATTTCATATAAATTGCGTACTAAGCGCTGTAATTCATACGCGGAAAATTGTATAGTCATCAATCATGCAGTCATTCATTGCCATAATCTAGTCATTCAGATTTACGAAATAGTGTTTTCAATTGTAGAACTCTATGTACATTTTATGTGCAGATACTAGTACTTTTTTAAATATATGTATGTGCTGATATGCATAACTTAATATAGAGAAATAGGCAGAAATATATGTGATAGTTAGTATATTAAAACAATAAATATTAAATAAATATATTAAAATAAATTAAAGAAATATTTCTTTTTATTTAAAAAATAAATTCTTAGCCTTCGCAGATTTCATTAAAAAAATAAATAAAAAGACAATTTCATTGTTAATTAAATATTAATAATTTTTTCCACGTTCCCAAATATTAATCCATGTTTATTTTTTATTTTATTTAAACAAATACTGTATCGTATTTAATAAAAAAAGATTAATATATCCAGAGTTGAGTATTAACTAAATTAAAACGTTAAAAATTAAAAAAATAGTTAAAAAGTTAATAACTTAACTTAACTTAGTTAATTTTAAATGCATTAATTTTTAACTTAATTTAGTTACTTGATTCTATATAAACTTCTATATAAACTTTAATTTATTAACTTTTTTAAATTAAAATTTTTTCTATCTCTTAATACTAATATTTTTTTTAATAAAATCTTAAACATTAGAGAATTAATTTTTAAAAAATTCAATGATTTTATGATTACAGACTCTATAATGAGAGTCACACTACATAGTAGCCAATTTTTATTGGCTCGCTGATTTTGTCAATTCCAACTTATATTTGAATCGCACCAATTTTAGGTGTCATAAACATTATATTTCAGCAACATAAATATGAAATGAGTTAAATGAAGATTGCACATCATTTTCTACATTTTTATATATATTTTTTGTAACAAATATCTAGTCGACATAGTCGTAAACATGCGTGAGCAGTTGTTTCGGAAGTTCAAGGAAATTAGATAAAGGTTAAAGAAAGAGAGATAATGCAAATATATACTCTTCTCTCTCACAAGATTTTGATAAAAACGCGATTATGTAACTCTTATTATATATGTACAAGTAACTTACTATGAATAACAAAATTAAATTTATCTAATAATATTTAATTTTGTATATTTTATATGTTTTAAGTGTTATTTAAAGTAATCCCATTTTAAGAAAAATTAGGACAAAATTCTTATGACAAAAATAATTTTTCCAAAATTAACTTTTTTTAAACTTAAGTTAATTCAATCTTAACTTAACTTTTATTAAGTTAATATTTTATTCTTTTAACTTTTAATTAAATTTTATTAATTTTATAAACCATTAATTTTAACTTAATTTAGTTTAAAAAAAAACCTTAATTTATCCATCACATTCACTTTGTCTTTAATAATGAAACATATAATTTTAAATAACATTTTGCGATATAATAATAATATCTAATAATAATAAAATGTATATACAAATGTATATACAAATCTATACAGTATATACATATAATAATTTAAATTAAAAATGAATGTCACATTCGCAAAAAATTGATAAAGGTATACTTATACATACATTAATTACAATATTAAATAAATTTAATATAAATTATATTGTCCTTTTTTATAGATATAGTCCCCTGTGTTGTATGTGTTAATCGCCGGAAATATCCATGGCTACAATCGATTACATAGTTCATTGTGCACGCTTTGTGCACATAAAGATGAGTTCCATTTAAAATATTAGTTCTCTCTGTCCGCGCTAATTGAAGCTGGCAAGCTGTTACATTTAGTACGGACATACACCATATTTTCAACGTTACGATTTTATCGGCAGTGTCGCGAAATAGACGTAGTACCTAGTCCTTGATCATTAAAATGGACGTTAGTTCGCTAGTGCATGGAGTTTTAATTCTCAATTCCCTGTCCTACATGGCACGTGATCTGGGGATCTTAAAAGGTGAATCAGCTGCTGATTATCAACAGCTGGCCCATACGGCCGCTGTTGCTTGTCAAGGTTCTTTGGATAGTATTGATTGACTTAATTGTTGTCCAATTTGATTTTGGATTCGCCATGAGCACCTGTCAATTAGAACCTTGTATCGAGCTTCCTCTCTCGGAAGACAAGCTAAAAGAAAGCGTAGATAAAGCGAAGGACTGGGCGCTTATACATGGTAATTATGTTTTTTTACTGATAAGAAATAAATTGCTGATAATCAAATGTATGATTATACACTTGCTCATTCCTGATAAACTTGCAAATCATAAAGACAAACATGATGGCTATTTTATATAATTTTAAGCATAAAGAATTCGAGGATATGATGCAAATATAAAATAATTACAATGATTCAGATGATGCAATTAGACAAATTTATGTGATGAGATCTTATGTTATTACTTAGGGATATCCATGCGATCCAAGACGAATTTTAATAAGGATCAGGTACAACTACTACCTGTTACATTGTTACCATCGAGCTTTCCCGAAAAGTCCTTTTTAACTGTAAAAAATGTACAAACTATATTAAACGAACTTATTCATAAAGTTGCTCATGATAAGGAATTTCTTACAAGTAGCTTAAAAAGGTACTGTTACTAGAGCTATAATCATAATGGAACTTGTCTTATTGTAGAGTTATATTATTTGATTTAGCACAATCCAAGCTGATCCATTTACAGCAAAGCTATTCCACATATATGAGACAGTATATGAAAAAGGTTTTAGTCAGGTATGTGATATTAAATATAATAATGTTTAGGTTAATATCTAGACATCAGTAAAAGATCCGATGCAGTTGATCATTGTGCACAAATACAAAAGAAGATTTTCCTGTTATATAGAGTATAAGTCTTGGACTGTTGAGATCAGATTATTTATTACACGATGATGACTGTAAGATAAAGCAAGTAGAAATAAATACAGTAGCGACTAGTTTTGCAGCCTTAGCTACAATTACATCCGAATATCATAAGTAAGTTTAGTGAAAAACTTCATTAAGAAGAAATATTAATATTTGAAAAGTCTTTTATTTAAATGTTTTTAATGAAAACATATTTATTTTATAGGTATATATTAGAAGAATTGGGATATAGGAAGAAAGCGTGCGAACGAGTAAATTAATTGTTCATTATTATCATAATTTTTTAAGATATAAGTTATTTATATGTTTGATTTTCGTAACATGCTAAAATTTTTTAGTAAATCTTTTTAATTGGACTTCTTGCAGAGTTCATTTTTCTCTTGTTCACTCCAGTGGTGAAGAAAAGGAAAGAAGATGAACAGTGCAAGAAATTCAGCTAATAGAAATTCAGAGAATAGTTCTATCGTTCTTAATACTGTAATATTTTGAAAATATTTTACAGTTTATTAATATTGATTATTGCTATTGATAAGATTCCAGAAAATAATGCACTTATTGGATTTTGCAAAGGATTAATATTCGCATGGGAATTGTATAATAATTCAGAGTAAGTTGGGTGATAGAGCAGATTTTATTCTGATTGTTACATTCTATAATTAAGACTAATAAACAAATTGTTTTAGAGCTGTTATATTGTTTATTGTTGAAGATATAACTTATAATATAAGCGATCAAAGATTTCATGAATTCCAAATTCGTCAATTGTGTCCTAAAATTAAGATTATTAGAAAAAGTTTAACAAATTTAGTATCGGAGGGAGTGAAATTGGGACCAAATAAAGAATTAATTGTGTAAGTTGAAATCTTAATTACAATTTATGTTATAAATTATATTAAAATTTATACAAAATATTTTAAAAGAGAATTTTTTTCATATCTTTGCAAATATAGAAATATTAAGTGTGGGAAAAAATTCATGGCGTTTTTCCCGTTAGATGGCATTAAAAAAACGCCACGAACTTTTTCCCACACCTAATAAATACTGAATAAAGAATGCAGACATTTGAATTATTGAATTATTGAAACATTTGAATTACTTGAATTGTTTTAGTTCAAATATGGTAGTGGCTGTTGTTTACTATCGTTCAGGTTATGAACTTGAAGCTTATCCGACAGAAAAAGAATGGGACATGAGATTGTTAATAGAGTGTTCTCGTGCAATAAAGTGTCCATCAGTACAGTATCATTTAGCAGGTACTAAAAAAGTATGTAAATCATTTAAATTTTTATTTGTCTAAACAAGAGTAATATACAACAAATTAAATTTTTCTTGTTATCTATACATAAGCTGTATGAAATATTGAAATAATTAATAGAAAACAAGAATATTTAATTTTTATCATATTTATTACAGATAGAATAAATTTGTAACACACACACATATATATATATATACTCGCTGTAATTAAGATTTATAAAATATTTCGATTTTGAAAATTATTTTTTTAGGTACAACAATCTTTAGCTCAACCTATTGTATTGAAAAAATTTCTAAAAGATGATGCATCTGTTGCTAGAGTGCAAGAAATATTTACTGGTCTATATACATTAGATTTTGTAAGTAATCTATTCATTATTTTATTATAATGTTTATATAATTAACTATTATATGAATAATTTTTAGCAATTCAAATTCAAAATAATATATTTATTATAATAATAGAATGATGCTGGAGAAAAAGCAGCAGAAATGGGTATAAACGAACCATACAAGTTTGTTCTCAAACCACAAAGGGAAGGTGGAGGGAATAACATATATAATGAAAGTATAAGAACGTGGTTAAGTTCAATGAAGGAATCGCAAGAAAGAACAGCATGGATTCTCATGGATCGCCTTTATCCTCCTTTACAGAAAAATTATTTGGTACGTGCTGCTGAAGAATCACCTTCAGAGGATGATGTTGATCTATCAGATGTTATAACAGAACTTGGCATATATGGCGTAATAGTAGGGTAAGTACATATGGGATGATTTACATTTTAATCATCATGT